TGTTTCATCATTTTTGATTAACAAACTATTGTTCATGGAAAAGTTTCCTTGATTGACTGGTTGTTGTTTTTTTTTTGTAGGGTAGCCACATGTCAAACTAAACTCGAATCGTTTTACTTGAAGCATTTAAAAATTTTTCACCCAAGTGATATGCAATCAATTAAATATATAGATGGACAAATTGGAAAATTAGAGCTTTTTTGTACGTGTGAAATGAATTGGAAAAAGTTCTAAAACCCATGGTAACTAGAAAGTCAATAAAACAAGCTTTACAATGATTTGAAATCAATAAAATAATAATGTGCAAAGAAAAATCATGAAAACTGCATTTTTGCAGCTCCTTTAGATGCATGTAGTCCCCCTAAGGCTTCGAGTCAGCCGTATTATTTCTCGTCTATTCATTTATCTTGAAAATACTGAGCGAGCTTTGGAGTTTGAGAGAAATTGCGAAAAAAGTTGAAAACTTGAATGCGGGTCTTGGATCCAAATCGTGTGCCAGTCCCTGCATTGTTTTCACCATAAAACGGATCGAGTAAATCGGTTCTCCTGCTCATTTCTACTACCTTTTTTGTCTCCCTTATTCACTCACTTCCTCTACTATATGTCTGTTGACCTCCACTTTCTCTCCTTCTCTATTTCCACTTCTCTCTCTTTCAGCCTAGTCGACCCGATCCGAATTTTCGTGAAGCCTGCAACCCCTTTTGCCGCCCATCAATGCCTCTCTCCGTTTGTCCCTCGCGCGTTATATATATATATATATATATAACTATATAAGCGAAAGAGAAGGGAGGACCAGGCCAGCTAACCCGGATCCTGAGCCAGCTCTTGTCCTTCTCTTTACTACTCTCGTTCTCTTCATCTTTCTCACATCTACCATTCTCACATTACTTTCTCTCTTTCACTCTCAGTGTGAACTAACGCGTCAAATTCTATATTCGCCCTCGATGGATTCCTGGTTTTTAGCCACCTTGTCGGGGAAAATAGTTATGAGCTTTAGAAACGAGCATCGTTCGTTTAAACTGTCAAATTACACTTGAACGTTCCAATATATAGGGTAAACTAAACGATTATGGACCACTGACTTTCAAAGAAGAATTTTTTCGACCATTTTACTCTTCGGAATTGAAAAAATCTGGAGAAAAACAGTTCCTCTGGTTTTAAGTACGCTTTGTAAGTTGGCAAGAATCTCTCTTCAAGGTAAAAACAATTATAGAAATGATCTTTTAAGGAAAAGAAATATTTTTTTTTTCGTTGAAATAGATATTATAGAATGTAGTGAAATGGTGAAAGAAAGGAAGGATTAGATTTGAAAGATTATAAGATTTTCTTTTATCGACTGTCGATAGTTTTATTGGATTGACTAATATGTGATATCAGTAATAAAGAGAGAATGATGATAATAGTTGAAAAATCTTGATCAAAAGTTGCAAAATAGCGACTTGAATAACCTAAAACTCCCAAGAGACGTAAATAACGTTGTGAAAGAAATAAATGCCTTATTTATAATCCCATGTTCGTTCCAACTTGGAGCGATGTCAGCAGTAGATTGTAAATTTACGAGACAGCGTCCTATCATCTCAGAAGCATCACAATCACCCTTTTCTCCCCTACTTCCCATACACTGATATCACTTTTATTTGGGTAATAAAATATTAAGCTGTTGCTTAGTCTGAATATTCACTGAGGAAAGAATTTGTTTATTGGAAATTCATTGATTTATTTACTAACTTTTCAATACATAAATATTTTTTTCTTTTTATTTACACTAAGAACGATATTGGATAAAAATTATTCACAATGGAGTAATCCAGGATAAGTAATACACCTTTAATAATTTTTACTACATATTATAGATTACGTAATTCTAATAGATAATTTCTCTTTAATATATTTGTCAATGTAGAAATTAATTAACTACGTAATTCGGATTATATTTAATCATGTTAATATTATTTACATAAACTTCAATCAGTATAAAATCTCTGTTTACAATAAATTTCTGATTTTTTAATAATATTGATTTGTGGAAGAGAGCTTATGATAGGTAATAAACATGAGTTTGACTAAAGCCTTAGGCTTGGTAATTAAATATTAATATTTTTCATACACATCAAAAAAGAAAAATCGGTATAAAATGATTTTAATTTCATTTTATTTATAATAAAAGTGTGTAAGATATTTTATTAAAGTTAAAATAAATGAAAATTGTAGAAAGAAATAAAATTATTATAAATAACAAAGTGGTTTCATTCGTTGTTCACTTCAATCAAAAAGCTTTCTAGATCGTTGTCCAAAGTAAAACCGGATCGCGTTAAGATCGTCTAGTAGATTCGAACGTCTTCTCCAAGAACTGTTTTGAAAGATTTATACTTACACTTTAACGGGAAGGATTAGATTTTTTTCTTTTATTTCATTTTATTTTATTTCTCTTTTTTACTCGTTGGTATATCCTACTTGCCATCAGTCGAAGCGTGGCCGACCACATATGACCTTATTCACTAGTATACGACGAATTGCGATTGACGCTACTTGATCTCCAACTTCTTTTCCCGCAAGTGGATGTTATTCGCTTGGTTTAGACACGTTGAAAGATTGCTAATAAAAATCAACAACTTTCTAGATATTTATTTTATCGATTCACAAATTGACTCTGTCAATTTATTTGTCAATTGTATTTATTTTTTATTCTTTTTTTTTATCATTCTGTCGATCTATTTGCTATCACGAAAAAGGGATTTCAAATCTTTTTAATAGATAGTATCATATTTAAAAATTTCTTTTTATCCATTTTTATTTAATACTGTATTTCTTTGTATAACATGGTGCATGGTTTTAGTATACTTTCATTTACTTTCAACTTTTTTCTCAAGTGCTTACTTTTTTTCTTCACTTTTCACTCTTCAATCGTTTAGTCTAACTCCTCCATTCTGCTCACTCACTCCCTCTGAATAATCTAACTTCATGACATTTTTTTTTCCATCTTTAAATTTCATCGATCTTCCTCTCAAGTTTTCTTTTCTTATCATTTCTTATTTCCACGGGGTTTTTTTTTTTCTTTCGTTATTTAAAGACCTATATTGTATACCGACATATACGATTACAAAGGAACAGAAAATGATGAGAATGTTTAAAACTAGAAAGAATGTCAATATTATCTTTAGATAAATAGTTACGAAATAAAATCATTCAGGATTTAATTAAACTAAATTCTTTTAGAGATACTTGAATTTTGTTGATATCATTTTTCTCAACTGTCTATAAATATTATCATAAAATATTATTAAAGAATTTTTAGATAAAAAATTTTAAAGCATAATAATTGAAGCATAGTTATTTTGTAAAAATTTCCTGTCAAATTATTTTTATATTTTCAACTTTGTTTTTTTTTTTTTTACAAATATAGCAAAAAACTATTTACATACACTTCACCTAATTTAAAAGACACTTTTATTTAGTTTTCTAAGCTTTTAACCACTTTTGTTTTCATATTTTTCGCACTGATGGAAATTCAACTATGCTTGGTTAAAAGTTGCTTTTAATGTTTTTAAAAAACTCTTCATAATAAAATTTTCTGATTGATTTGGATAAAATTGATAATTTTTTAAAATAACTACTTTTTAAAGTAAAGTCACAAAAAACATACGATTCAATAAATATTATTCAATTTTATCCAATCCTAAAAAAAATTTATTCTGATCAAATAAATTCGTTTGAATATTTTGTTTGATCGAATTTCTAAGTTTAATTAAATGAAAAATGTTTTTGACTAAAGAAAATTTTTTTTAATTAAATAAAAAATAATTGATTAAAAATGATTATCAATCAGTATCAATAAAACGTCTCATTAATCAAACATCGTTATCAGCTATTATAGATGTTTTGTGTTCGTGATATAAACAAATGCAGATACATCATCAAAGTAGCACCAACAGAAAGACTGAAAGCAAGAAGAGCGTAAAAAAAAGGAAATGAAAACATATATACAGTCATTACTCAAGCTTGTCATTGAAGGAAACATGGGAAAACAATGAAAAATTCTTTGCAACAAACATGAGATATGTAAAACATGCCAGAGGGTTAAAAGTGTGTGTGTTTTTTTTCTCTCTCTTTCATTTCTGTCTATTTTCTTTTTATTTCTACATTCAAATCAATGCATATATACACACACATTTATCTTATGGTGCGTTACTCTGTGAATTTTAGTGGCGAAAGAAAATCGAGTGGTGAAAGAAGAAGAAAAAGGAGGAGGGCGGTGAAGAGAGTGAGAGAGGTCAGCCGCAGGAGAGAAGAACTTCCGGGATACCCATGAGCTTCTGCAACTTTTTCTCGCAAGTGCAGAGCTTGCGCGCAGGATCCCGCTCGGTTATATATTGCGCGTGGGTTAAATGGAGATGACGATGAGATGGCGCTGGGGTTGGTCTGCGTGATGTTAAGTGGGGGTAAAAGAGACGCACTAGAGGGGTGGTGAGATGAAGAGGAAGGGTTGCCATGGGAGCTACCCGGCCAGGCAGCAGAAAGCCCAGTCTTACCGCGGCGACTCGAGAGCGCTTCGGTTTGCTTTTGCCGTATAAAAAGCCATGTGTGCATGTGGCGCGTGTATGTGTGTGTGCAACTTGGTGCTGATGCTGAGATTTTAAACGTCCGACGTTTTTCTGTGCTCATTCCTATCACATCATTATTTACTAAAATAATAACAATTATTGGATTATTATTGGAAATTATCCAGTCATTATGATATTATATACACACATATATATTTAATACTATAAATAATATATTGACATAACTTAACTTTATTTACTTGTGATCATGTTATTGTCAACAGTGTTATTATACTTCATGTCCTTTGAATATTCTTGTTAATGCGACAATATCCATTAGTTTCACTGCCCACGCGTGTCTTCATTTTCATGCTGCTGCAGACTTAAAGCGTCTCTGACGTGAGAGTATAAGTTTGGAAAGAGGGAAAAAAGTAAAAAGTTAGGGTGAGTAAAGAAAAAAGGCTAAAGAAAGCTAAAGTAATTCTGTGCAACGTATATCAAAGAAAGAACATACTACTTACAGAGGAAAAAAATTACACGAGTGACGAATACCACTATTTATCCGAGCGGTATACAAGTGACACGTGAGAGAAAAAATTCAAGGTGATTTTTTTAAGAATTAATAAGCAAAGAGAATGTTTTTAATCTTTAGATAAATTTCAAAAAAGCTTAAGTAGCTTTTACTCTTTATAGATGTGTATACTATGTTAATTAAACTTTGTAAAACAACTTGAATTTGTGTGATGATTGTCTTAATCGGCTCAATCATACGCTTATTCAAATGAGACTTTTTATCAGTATTACACTTCAGACGTCTTGACGCCGTCATTGCAATTCACTCTACTGTACTTCCTCACCACTTCCTCACGACATTCTCGCCGTATCTTTGCCAGAAAATACAAAGCACAAAAGGGAAAAACTCAATTCTTGTGTTCAAAGCTGCATTTTGTTGAGATAAAACATCCTCTTTTCCTTTATTTTCTTAGATTTTATTCTTTTTATTTCTGATATTTATTTAAATATTATTTACTTTTCTCTAAAATTATCAATTTAATATTTTCATTAATTTTCGAAATAACTTTTTTTTAAAACAAATAAAATATCCTCTGACTTGGTGTGTATAATAAGCAGAAAGACATAAATGTATTAGGATCAGTAGTAAAGCTCCACGCTTGGTCAGACAGCGTGTGAATGCGTTGTCTCGAATATAACAAAATAAACCTCTGGTTCAATTTAATAAATTAAATGCATTTAATAACATTATATTGTGATGATAAATTTTTTATAGCATCAATTACAATGTCTGTTTCATCTCTACCTCTTGATATTTTTTTTACTCGTCAAATTAATAAACGTTAAGCTTGCCTTGTATTTGTATTCTCTGACAGCTCAGAGATCAGACAAAGATGCATCATATTTTTTTTTTTGTTTTGTCTCGTGTCTCTCGTTATTTTTACAATGTCATGTGTATGTGTACATTTTTGTATATATACCGGCTGTTGCATCCGTTTTGTTACGTTCAGAATTTTTATGATCACACCAATTATGGCGTTAATTATTTATAAAAAGAAAAATTCATTTTTTCTCTCAAATGTGGATATAAATAAAATAAAAATCTCTCATTTGTAAATTTTTATATAACAAAATCTCACTTTTATCATTTTTATCTGGGTTAGAGGACAATAGTTGGACATGAAAATTCTTTTTTTCTTTCAAGTAGACAATTGCATCTCTGCTCTTAAAATTTTTATTTTATTCCCATCGTCAAATCTAATCCGACAACGAGAGCAAGTACTCATCGCTGTATCTGGAAACTTCCCAACAATCTTTTTTTTTTTTTTCACGGTACTTCTTTAGTTATCATTTATTTCGAATTTTTTTACTTGGGTTTTTTTTTTTTTTTTTTTTTTTTAAAAAAAAACATATACACAGAGGTGAACTTGTCAACCGTTTTCTTTCAGTCGATCAAACCAATCGTAGTGACATGTTATTTCTCGTAAGCTTATAAAGGGAATAGTACATAAGAAAGTCTTGTTGAGAAATAAATTTTATACTGGATTTAATAAATCAGCCATCACAATTGACTTAAATATAATTAAATGTTTTCAATTTAAAGTAAAACAACATTTCATGAAATAATGAAGTTTTAAAAAATATTTATATTTCTTTCACCAGTGAGCAATATTATTTATTAATATTCCATTTGAAAAAATTAATTCTTTTCTCTTTCACAATTATTGATTAAACAAAAACAGTCACATCAATTATTATCAAACTTTTTATTTTCGAATATTTTATAAATTGCAACTCATCACGCCACAAACTTTGGCGCCATTTTAAGAGAAAATTTTTTTCTCATTTTAAAGTTTGATATATTTATATATTTTTTTTCTTTTCATCTAAATAAAATATTCATAAAAAAAGAATCTAAAACTGCAATATTAAATATTTTTCTTTGTTTTAAATAATTATATTGATTAAATGAATATGATTAAAAAATATTTAAATTAAATCAAATATTCAATTTTATATTAATCTACTCGTGAATTGATCCCCATTAATGATAGTGTAATTGTATAGATAAAAACATTCCAATTTATTTGATTTGTTGAAGCAAAAACAAAAAATGTAAAATCTAGAAAAAATAACTGTTTTTTTTTTATCATGTATCGAAATTCAAGCGCTAGGTAAACACGTTTGCCGATAGAGGTGAATCAACAAATACAGTTAAAGTTGTTTGTGATAAGCAAATTACAACCTAGAGCATTCGACATATATTGATAATATAATTAATATAATTTTAATGAAACAATAATAATATTGCTACAATCAATTATTAAAGTAATTTAAGCAACTCGCCATTTTCAACAAAAAATAAAAAGTTTTTTATTAAAATTTGTGTATCATATGGAATGCAAGCTTGACAAATTTGTTAAGATTAAACCGTCAGATTTGAGCATAGGAATATTGCTTAAAATTAATAGGATGTCACTACGTATTAACGAATAGGAGATCTACTTAGTATTGCCTTGATCTTCAACGTCGACTAAAATAATTAAATTGCTATTGATCTTACGGGAACAAACCAATGCCTTTGAGGCCTGCAAACTTCATTAACTTGTCATAAAGTCTCTGTCACTCATCAACTACTTTCCTGTTTGAAATGTACGTATATCGCCAGAGCATTAGATAAAGTTACCTAATGATACTTAATAGGTAAAATAAACTGTAACAGTGGTGAAAGTCAATGTCTTGGAATATATTTAATCAACTTTCCTCTAACTTTAGTGACTTTTTGAAGCTTAAATATTCTTTAACAAATAATAAAATAAAATAATTTACGAGAATTTTAGCATTTTCATAAACCTTCTTCTAATAAAAAAAACACATTATATTTTTATGTCATTTTAATGAAATAAATTTGAACGAAATTTTTTTTTTACGTACAATATGGTTCAATCTACGTCCATATATCATAATAAAAAGTTAAAGCTCATTTATAGCGCTATTATCTCCATTCTGACCTACGTCTCCATATTACCTTATAACGTTTAGCTTTAATACTTATATAATTCCTTATTTCGTACACGATAGTTATGCATTATGCACTCTATTTGACATTGATTCCATTAATCCTCGATTCACTTAGGGTTGAATACGATCGTAAGCACGCATCTCCTGAACTCATGCCATAAATATTTGATGAACTTTTGACCCCAAAGAATATCTTTGGAGGGTGGAAAAGAAAAAAAAAACAGTAAAAAAATAAAAGACAAAGTTTTTCATCTTTGGTTTAACATATCACTGGAGAGAGGACATTTCTTTCTCCTGCCAAATCCTCCCCACAGACCTTTTTTTATCCCCTGTTTTTTCCCCTCGTAGTCAGACAGTTAGTTGTCGAGAATCAAATACACATTTCTCACGCCTCACCAATGATTCTACTAGGGTGGTAAAAGACGACCATTTTCTAATGATTTTTCGATTATCATTTAGATGTTGTTTCAACCATTACCAGAACATTAATATTATTTTTATAGTTTTATTTTTATTTTACTCATGGAATTTAATTAACCTCATTAACTGTTTACATTCGAACTATGTATGGTGGGTATAAGTAAATTGAATTAAATTGGAATATCAAGAGAAAACATTAAGACAAAAAGAAGTACAAGGATAAGCATAGCAGTAACGACCCAACATGCGTGGTCTATATCTTTGTTAAAAGGGTAAATGAGGGGTTAGTTTTAAAGGCCCCATCGGTTTTTTCTCGGCTTAAATACACATTTTTCCCTTGTTTTACACTCGCTCTCTTTACTTTTTATTTATTCCTGGTTTTTTACTCGCAAATTTTACATCATAAATTTTAATAAGTTTAAACAGCTTATGGCTTAGCTAGATATCTCGTGTACTAATTTTTAATAGAGATAACATTCATTATATAAAAAATATTTAAGTATGACATACATATTTATATTTTGTTTGATTGAATTTTTAGTGTATGTGATTGCAGATTATTGGTACACGAAATAGAAGTTTTCTTATTTATTTCTTTCTCATTTTCAAATTTCATTTCATTTCTTCCCTTATTTCTGTTCTTTCTTTGTTGCCACTCGAGACCTCGGATAATATTTTTCAAAGTTGTATGTACAGGATTCGAGTCTCGTTATTGCCGACAGCTTGTGAATGAGCTTGAGTAAATATAAAAAGAGAAGTAGAAAAAAAAGAGAGAGAGTACATAGTAGTAGTAGTAGTAGCAGTAGTAGTAGTAGTAGTAGTAGTAGTAGTAGTAGTAGTAGTAGTAGTAGTAGTAGTAGTAGTAGTAGTAGTAGTAATAGTAGTAGTAGTGACAAAAAAAAACTGCAATAGAATGAAAATATAATAGATATGATATTTAAATTACGATTTATTTTAGATAATAAAATAATTTGAAGATAACGTAAGAGAGTTATTGATAGAGAAAAAAATATCCAAGAATTCTTATAGAATTTATCGAAACCACCATTTTTTCGTTGCCGGTTAATCCATTATTTAATTTGACATGAAAAGAAATATCTAACTAGCGGATAAAAAAGGTGTTAAATATCTTTAACGATAATGTATAAATTATATAAGTAAATATTTCTTCAGAAAATTGTCTGGTTTAGTCTATATAAAAAAAGAACTAGTTAAAGAAAAAAAAAAGAAGATTGGGTCAATAATTTGACCTCTCCAAGTGAAACATCTTTAAATAGTAAATAAAATTTTATTAGAGAATATTTCAGTTTAAAATGACAAGTTTAAATATTTTTCCTATAATATTGATAATTTTGAACAGTTTCATTTTAAATCATCTTTACTTATCGAGAACAAAAAAAAAATATAAATAGATATTCAAGCAAAAGATTCTATTTTGTTTATCAATTAATCTCTTTTATTTTTATTTTAGAATAAATTTTCATTAAAATGCTCACGTGATCTTGACTGGATACATAATAAATCATAGAGATACTTTTAATTTATATTCTTTTAATATTCAATAAAGGCTACTTTTTTTTTGATACCCTCTAATTATTCAACTCTCTTTTAAAATTTCGTAACTCTATCAATACCCTTCCTTGCCTATCTCTAGTATCATAAAAAAACCTTATAAAAAAACTTTTAGGATCAGTTTCCTAACAACTAACCCAGCAAAATTAATCAACTTTCTAGAGTATTAAAAAGTGAATACAATTATATTCAAATTTCCACCTAATAATCATCATAAAAATTAGGAAAAGTTTAAAAAAAAAAAGGTCAACCTTTCAACAGTAAATTCTCAACTGTTTAAAATAAATTAATTGAAAATATCTTGGTGTAGATACAACATGATAAATGAATAAATTAAATGGAGAAAGAGCGAGAGTGAGCGAGTAAATTGAATGAAATAAAACAAATTAATAGTTTCGTTGAAATAAATGTTAAATCAAGTTCAAAACAATAGAATGTAAATCGATGAGGTTTGAAAGATCGAGAATAGGTGAAAATCAAGTATCGATTAAGCTTGACTGATTCAATTAACTATTTCAGTGACGGAGAGATGAAATCTATGAAGTCCAAACGACGAACGATGGAGTAGAAGAGACAGGCCAAAACATACTCGACAGAGAAGAAGAAGAGAACAAAAGAGAACGAGATAGCGTATCTACAGGTGTAGTTGTCAGTGAAGAGGCATTATATTATCTTGTACCAGGTGCTGGTAGTAAATTTATTCATTAACAAAGTGAATGGTCCATACGAAGTAGAATGGACCGATTGACCGAGTGGGAGGAATTAGAGATGAGATCGGTGAGACACCAACATAAGGGGATTGTGTCATCGGTTTGTCCGTGCCAAGTATTGGTAATTGCCAAACCGATAGACATAGAAGATCGCAGATCAACCGCCGAAACATTGCACTAATTATTCGGCATTGTGTTCAATTGATAAGAAAGAGCCGAAGAGGATAATACTACTAGCTAAGCTTCAGGGAAGGAGGAACAAGAATGCATCACAGCACTGGTTACACAAGTGGTCCACAAGAACGTGTCCATCAGGCTTCTAGACCTGTTGGTACCACTACAGTGGACACTAAGTGCCCCTATGAAACGTATCCTATACCTGATTGCTGTGCTGCAGCAGCAGCCGCAGCACAGGATCCATATCCTAGACCACCCAGCGGCTATGACTCTAGATGCTTCGACGAATGCCACAGGATCCGAACGCCTTATCAGGAGGATACAACGCCCCAGGTAAATATTCACTTTCCTTATATACAATCGATATTCATTTTGTTGATATTATGGCGGAATTGTTTTTTGTTCCATAGATTTACTCTTGGTAATTAATTTAATGAACCAAATTTTTCTAGAGAAAGTTTGTATACAAGATTTTTTTTTTATAACTTGTAAAATTTAATCATAAAGTTTCTTTTGATTATCATAGCAAACAGTCTTTTGTTATAAGTATAAAGAAACTGGCTAGCTAACTTGCATTTTTTAAAAATAAATTCAAATAATTATGACATTAAATTTTAAACCAACTTTTTTCTAGCTATGCTAATATTCCCTTTCTTATGCAGAGGTGATTTTGTAATTTTTAAAAATAAATACTAATAAAATTTATATTTACTGCAATTATATAAATATAAAAATCTTTTTTTTCGTCATAATAATTAATTTAAAAAAAGTAGATATAATACTGACAGTTCACATTGGCCTTATAATTTTAATAAATGAGCTTTTGGAAATGGTCCATATTTTCACAGTGTATATAATAAATATCTAAAACGAAGAAATAAAAAAAAATTGAGTTAAAAGCTGCTGTGAATGCTGAAAAAAAAAGTCTGATACTAGTTTATGCAGTATATTTAATGGATATTCCACTATTACAAACTTTGAACGTACATTTTTTTTTCGGTTAAAAATAAATATTTCAATATACTTTTAACTGATATTACGTATATCATCAACATCTAAAATCTCAAATGAATAAAACATAGTGAGGAAAAAAATTCACAGATCTCCAAATAAAAAATTCACTACTAGAAAAGTTTGGCTTTTTTTTTCTGAAGGATGTCAATAGAATAACTAAAAGCTTACCAGACATAAAATAAAAAATTCGCTGATAAAAATATTTAGCTGAAAATTTCAGCAGTTTCACCGATTTTTAGACAATATGATCACGGGATAATAATAATTGAGCTTCTAAGACATTCTTCAATGATAAAGACTATAGATATATTATATTATAAGTTGGCAACCTTTAAATGGCATCAAAAGCTCAAGTGCTCTAGACACTCTTTATCATTCAAGTGAGACAAGTACCGACCTATTCTGCGGTTATTTGGAGGCAGACGACGAAAGCACTTATCGCTTTCGATGCACAAAACACACCGAATCCCTCTTCCAGCGAGCGAACGTCTATTAACGTTGCTCCGTGTCACATGATGTGAACATGAGTACGCTTCAAAGTTGACGATGTGATTTTCAGACGAAATTCGTGTGATTCAGGCGCCCATAAACCTATTCAAAATTAAAGCTTTAGTGTCTAATTACGAGATTTATAATTAATTCAACTGGATAATTCTTGTTTTAAATTTCATCATTCCTCTATACCAACATCTTCAATAAATGTTTTCAAATAAATTCATTAAAACATTCTAGTTTCATTACCTCAATTATTCTATCAAATTCTCTATCACTAGAAAATAATATCAAATCAATAAATGACACGAAAAAGATTTTTTAAAATTGCAATCAATACTATTTTATTGTAAAGTATAAAAATTCCTCAATCGACATATTATTGTATTGTCAAATACTCTGAATAGGTTGTTCATGTAACAATGCTTCAAAATCTCATCAAAATCCTATTAAAGAAAGTTTATTGTTAATGGAGGACTAAGAAAGACAGAAAGTACCACATTCCATGGCCATTGAATGGGTCATTTAAGATTACGACTAGCAGTTACATTTGGACCATATTTACTGACTCTATTCGAACTTAATTTTCGACTCTTGAAGATCTCTCGTTAGTTTACAATTCCATTAAATTCCTTTTAATAAAAAAAAAAAAATAATAAAACAAAAGTCATTGAAGAAAGTACCTCGTGTGAGAGATACTATTTATGGTGACATCTGTGTATTATCGTAAATGTATTTGTAATTTGTAAATTGAAAATAATAGTCCTTATTGAAATATTTACGTATGAGAAACCAAGCCAAAACCAAGCCTGTCGTTTATTTTCATGCTTAACTGTGTTACTAGTGCCAAAATTACATTAATTAACATAATTACACAAGTTCTGTTAGCACAGCAATCGATTCCGTCGCCTCTTCATAATTATTCTACGTGTAAAGGAGAAACTCGCTTTATTTCTCTAGTAACTTTGATTCCCTTACTTAGGTCTTAATTTATTCAATCTGATTTTTCTTTCAGACTTGTTCAATTTTTTTTCCTCTTCTTTTCTCGTACTATCTGAATTGAATATAATTCAATGAATTCTATGATCAATATTTTAGTATTTTCTCCAAATAAATTGGCTGACTCATCGTACGTTACTCTTACTTTGAACTTGTGCCGATCTGCTACGAGTCATTTATACTTACATATTATTTTTATCGAAAAATAATTTGTATTTTCTATATCCTTCATGTCTTAAACCAATGACTCTATTGTGTTGGACATCTCATCAAAACTTATTTTCTTTCATCATCAATTATGTAACACCAACGATACATTTTGTCTTATTAATAAGTTGGCTGACGTAATATTTACCAATTCTACTTTCATTTCATTTTTCTGCAGAAATTTATTAATCAAAATACTTCATTTTAGTTCAACCCTTCCTGCAAGATGACAGCTAATCGAATTTTGTTATTATTTCACTCAATTATGTTATTATTTCCAAATAATTAATTGAGCATTTCGAGTATTTATATCATAAACTTGGAGATTCTGACAGTTCCAGATGCCTAATAATTCTTTCCACTCGATTGGAAAAATAAAAATTATATCAGAAAACCTTAGGAAAAAAATTAATTCGAAAAACTAATAAGTGAAATTGTAAAAAAAAATCTATCTCAAAGGCTTCTATTCGATTGTAAGATTTCTAGTGATGATATTATTGAAAAAAAAAAAATAACAAAATGAAATTAAAAATAAAATTAAATCAAGATCTAACATTTTTTTTAAATCGTCATAACATACGTCAGATCCATTCTATATTTTTGTTCGATCGAGAAAAATTCATAACTTTTAATAAAAGAAACGTTTGGTATTTTTCAGTCAAGTAAAACTCATTCTAGAATTTAGTCGATTAAATAAACATTTCAACTTTTAATTCATTTTTATTCTACTATAACGATCACTTGATTTTACTTTTCTTCTATTTTCTCAACTTCAAAAAATGGAATAAAGTATTCAATTAAAGGAATGTTAATGAAAGCAATATTCCATAATCCTACTGTAAGACAGTTTGTTCTCACATTATAGTCATTTAAAATTAATCCTACGATAAGATTTGTGTAATAAATATCAAAACTGGCGGCAAATTTATCTTGGAGACAATCGGACATAAAAATTTACTGAAATAATGATTTTATCAAGAATCCTTGTAAAATATATTGGCTGATTCAGCATGTGCCATTTTTCTTTAATAGGACATTCCAGCGAGTCTGCATCGTCCCCAGTCGCGGGTCGGATTCGAAGACCAGCGTCCGCAATCGAGGGTTGGCTACACGAACGAATCTCGGTGCCCAAGTAGACTTGATTACGATGACACGGGTGGAGGTTATCTGGATCAAAACGATCCTCGGATGTATTGCACGGGCAACTATTGCATGGGAGACACGATGATGGCGACTGCCAGGGGCGTGTGTGGCGAAGAGGTCGAGCTCGATATGCGGAGACACATTCAAGCATGCGCCTGTACCTGTAATCACATGGGTTACGGCAACTACATGGACTATCAGGTGAGAATATATATATATATATATATCAATAATAGCTGATTGATTAGCCACGATAAATTTTTGTTTGCTACACGTAAATGTTACTCTTGTTTTTCCCTCTGTATATTCGCTCTCATCATCGGTCATCTGTCCCTTTTTCTCATCGTCCCATTCCGTCAATTTAATTGCCTCGTAGTCTGGCCAATGCAAACGCCAACGACAAATACAATAAAAAAAGTAATAAAAAAATAAGCCAAGCGTGGAGTGAATTTCATGCTTTCGCACACTGATAGAAGGATTCCACAATAGTTAAGGATATTTATTAATAGTTTGAAAATGGTTCTTTGAAATATTTTTCTTCTTTTGTTATTATCATTATTTAAATGAAGAAATGCTAAATAATGTCAGATAATAGTAGCATGATCTCTTTGCATATAATTAATAAAATATTAAATTTAATTATTTTGTTACTTTACACAAACACTAATTTATTTTCAAGTAGAATTTATCAAATAATAGAAAATTTTTTTCTAATTAATTTTGTTTGAAGTGTTGCAAAATCCTTTGTATCACATCATCCTTTTTATTTATTTATTCAAAAATTTTTATTACTACTACAGTCTACGATAAAAAGTACTTTTTATCATAAAAATTTCAATATTTTCACAGTGTAAAAATCTCCTTTTGCAAAATAAATACGTGATAGAAAGTTACATATTTATATTTCATGACTTAAACGTGGATGAATAAAAATGTTCCTAGCTGATGAAAAAAGTTGGTAAAAGATTGAAATATCTATTAATGAAAAAAACTATTAAAACAAATAAAGTAATAGTAAAAAGTTAATGATTTTATTCAACTTTACATCGTTGATATATTTTATCATCATTATCTCATTAATGTAATATTGATTTTTGTCGAAATTTAGCTCTTGGTTCTACTGATCTAATCATTAATTACTATCAAATAAATTAAATGGTAAATGTGGAATTCAATTGTATGCATTCAAATGGAATCATGGTGATGCAATGAGTCATTATATTTAAATTATCACCATCACCATACATACTCTTTGCATTCATTTAATACGTATTTTTCTTTCATTCAAAAATTTCATACAAATCCATCATTTTCATTCATGTCACTCATTATGATATCCTTTTATGCCTCTGTTAATCACACATATTTATAATTCCTTTTTATATATTGACTTTACAGAAATCATTTACCACTAATTACTCGACAATAAAATTATTTAATTTTAATTGCATCCAATTTAAAGTCATTTCTAAATATAAATAAAAATTAAATAAAAAAAATTTATCAAGCTTTTAAAAATATTACTTTTTATATATTTAAATTATAAATACATTTTTAAAGTGTGTTACATAACATTATTTATTTTATAAATCCTTTTGAATTTTATTCAACCAAAATGAGATGAAATTCTGTAATAGAGTATCCCAAAAATAGTTAAATATCTTTGAAAAATACATTTAGAAGAAATTAATATAGTTGGGAAGTATCAATTAAAATTTTTCTCATTAAAAATTCGTAACTGGTAAATATGCATGTTTTGAAATGTGCAACAGCTAAACACACATAATAGTCGAATGAGAGATTCTGGTGTTTATAGTTGGGTAATGATGGTATATACAGCAGTGAGTGGTAAAAACTGCATCGTGTTTCAGTAGCTCTTCTGCAAGAGGAGGGCTAACTCGAAAGTTTGAAAAGCTTGACTGACATAGTAGGTAGATTGTGAAGCCACGAAAAGCTATAGTGAATCTAGTCGCGGCTATCCAACCAGTTTTACTGCACTGCAGTTGCCGGAAATTTTCAAAGTGGCGTGCAGTAACCTTGTTACATATAGTACAAGAATTCTCTCCTCTTATGCACGTTTGTCGAGTGATGTGGCTTCAAATGCCCTTGAGCATAAGCCATCCTATTTCTATTTTTCTCAACTTTATGTGAACATGTAAATATAATAGAATGGAACATAATCTTACACCAAGAATGAATTTTTTTATGTTTATGACCAGACTTTGTTAAATTATTATGTAATAACAGTTTTTATGATATCAAAATGAGTTCTAAATATGATGAATATTTCAAAAGATTAAAATTGTTCTGATGTTTCTATGATTCTTTTTATTAAATAAATTTTTAGTCTGAGGTTTAATTTATTTTTAGCTTCACAACTCAGTTATGCTGATATGAATTATTATAGAAAGTTTTCAAGAAAATGTTGAAGCTAAAACATAAGCTTTCAAAAGTAATTTTGAGAAATTTTACAGTAATTTAATTCAATGATTATTGCACATTATAATAGGGTAAAAGTTTATTTGAAAATATTTTATGATCTTTGGATATAAAAAATTATTCATCAGTTTTATATAGATCTTTTGAATGATTGAACAGATAATAACATAGTATTTTTTTCTAAAAAAAAACCCTCAATGAATTTATTTGAAATAAAAATGATACACCTGTCAACATGGATTGTGCTAAAAAATTCAAATACCAATCTCATGAATTAATCTCATCTCAATCATCTTTGATGGTGAATAAAGTCTTCTTCCTTGATATTACAATAATTTTCAGACTATTACAGCACTGATAGACTTGTAATAAATTTTATTTTATCTCGATTGAACAACTGGAATTATCCAATCACGTGTCAAGAACATAACAATATTTCCACTTCATCAATTCCACTGTCACTTTATCAAATACCATGGATGAATTTTTCACTCAATAAATTTTTATCAAAGTCTCTGGCGCTGGAAGTAATTTCCCAGTCTCGACTTCTCTTTGACCCTCGTTCACACCTTCCAAAGGAAAAAATAAATAAAAAAAAAGTAGAAAACACTGTCTGACAAGAGTACTTGCCTCTTCAGAAAGACCGTGTACCCTTATGCTTGGCTGCTACTACATTTTCATCTTCATCATGACCACAGCAACGTCGTGATTATCTCTTTGTCGTTGTCAACAAACACACAAGGTCTGTGAAAGGTTGAGGGTGTACATCAGGTCTTGGCAGGATCTAGAGGCTTTTGTTCACAGCCCCTTCTTCTTGCTGTGTTAAATAAAAGAAACCCCTTAGCGTCTAGCAGTATATTTTCTGCGTGTGTCAAATATTCACTAGCCATTGACGTGATGATGTGATACATGTACCCAACAACGTCTATTGAAATTGAAAGTGCAAAGAAGAGAAAGCATGAAAACGGAAATCCTAGACACAGATGTGAATCTTTTGTACAAAGTAATTAATCAAGAAACTTTTCAATGGAAAAAGTTTTTTCAAAAGATTTATAGTTTAGTATTCATCCATTGAAAGGTTTTAATTGAAGCATCAATCAATAAATGAAAAAAAATATATATTAATCCTTTGTTATTTCATCAATAATCTATACCCAAATGTGTATATGCTATCAGGAGTAATCAATTGATGAGTGTAACAATTAAAGATAAATTTAAAGAGAAAAAAATGGAACAAAAAAGTGTTCGACAATAAAATAAACCATGAGGGAATGTAAGAAAATAAATGCTTTAGAGAGAGGAAAGCTGCACAAGAGACGATTCGATCCTATTGATTTCACTTGTCGCCCTCGAGTCGACCGAGATGGAAGACCTTGACATCAATACCAAGCATAACAGCATCCCCTGCTAGCATTCTCGCCCACCATCTTTCCTCTCTACCTCCCCACACCGCAACATTACTCATGCTCCATCGCTTTCTATATCGTGGCCCTTCCAATCACCACCCCCGTGAATTTCTCATACCATAGCAAACTTTCTGAAAACCTACGCTCGTCTCTACTTTTACTCTGCTCCACACAGCCCACACCCTCTCGGCCTCTTTTCTTTCTTACCACTTGCCAATTTTGCGGTACCCGCTTATTATTCTGCTCACAATCTTACCAGATGCCCATACCATTTGCTTGGTAATTTGACAACATCCTGGCTAGTATTTTTATTCCTTCTTTTTTGTTCCCTAATTACGTGAAATACTCTTTTGATATTGATTTATGTGGATCAATAATCTCATTTATCATATGATGTATGCATCATGAAGAAAATTTTTCATTTATTTCGCCACCTATATAAAAATCAATCAATTTTATATATTTCGTAGATACATATATATATATACTAAATTACATTTTCAATTTTGACTGGAATTAGAATTGCATTTTAGTTTGTGTATATGTAAAAGAGTATGTCATATAAATTGATAAACAGATTACGGCATAAATATGCAAATAGATGTATGATTTTTTTATTGGATTTATGTTGCCTGTAATAAATAATAAAACAAATCTGATGTTGAGTTTTTTTTCTTTCATTTTTTGCCGATGAGTATTGAAAAGAAATTGATAAAAAAATATAAATCATATTTTAGGAGCTGATAGAACAGGATCATTTCCTATCATCTATCTCTCAAAGTTATTTTTCACTAAAAAAAATTAATTTTTTATAAACAAAAATTCACTTTTAAAATATAAATTAAAATAATAATAATTTTGATTAATATGTAAATTATTTCAAAAGTACACAGTTGTTACAATTATAGATCTTCTCAATCAATCCCTTAATAAGTTAAATTGTATTTATAATCAATTCACCATTATCCGTAACTGATACTAATTAAATAACAGTTCTAATTAGTTGGAGTATTCATTAAACCTAAACATGTCCAATCAAATTTTTATGTAAATTATAACTTTAAAAATAGTCATCTATAAATCTTTTAATTCATTTTTTCCTTTCTATCCTTTTTTATACCAATAAAATATTTCTTAATTAAGCTTTCAATTTTAATTTATTTTCAAAAATAAATTGATTTGCATGAACATAGTATTACAATATATTGATCTCGAGATTTTTAAACAATTAATTGCGTGATTATTTGCAAGCATAATAATTATCTTGATAATTATTCCAGTGAACAAAATTATATGATAATAATTTTAGATGCACATTGATATATGATACACATATGCACTAAATTGATATAATAA